CATCGATCGTGCCTCTGTGAAAAGCCTGAACGCTGATCACATTCGGTCTTGCTTCTGTGGCCGCAAGAACACTCACCAGGTCTTGCTGAATTGATTGGATGATTGATTGGCCTGGATGCTTGCCGGCTTTCCAGTTGAGTTTTTGGTGGAGCAGTAGGTTCCGGGCGTTCTGAAGTTGCTTTCCGGAATCTGACCTTCCTGATAAAAGTTCAATTATCAGTAAAAGTCTTCGATCTTCTCTTTGCAGTTTCATCACCACAACTAGAGAATTGACTTTATGCGACTTTCGGTTGGCTTCAAGCCTGTTGTTCTTTGTTTATGTGACATTTCGCGTAACTTTCAGTATCCCCTGTTTCAAGTGTGACGATAAACAGTCAAGCAAGCAGTATTGTGACATGCTGTACCGCTTACAAGTAGACGACCAACCCTTCGCTTTTCAGTCAGTGACATGTAAAAACTTTACCGGTGCTATGTTTTGCAGCAAGGAATAGAGACTTTTGATCGTCTAGGCAGAACAAGTTCCATATAATTACGCGAAGCTTCGAAAATCAATGGCCACATCGATACTAACCTCAACAGTGGCCGTACGGACAGTACAGGATAAGTGAAATCGCTATCCATCAAGTGCATTTCGTCCATCAAACATCTTCGATGGCACTCCTGGTTCAGGTGGACAGGTCGGGCGGCCACTCAACACTGCAATGCTGTGGTTGTGGTGGCTGAAACCTTAGAACGCCTAGCGACAGACAAGATGCTCCAAAGCGTGTTGCAAAAATGTCAAACGCACAGGGTCAACAATGCCTCGCCTATATAGTTGGTCCAAAGTTCAAATCTAACTGCTAAAAGAAGCCGACTATAGGCATGCACAACTCGCCCTATCACATAACTGAATAACTGATCTTCAAAATTCCAGGACCGGCACACTGACGAGTGTTCCAGTACAGTATGAGCGAAATATTTCGCTCAGCGGACTCAATGAGGGGCCTTGAACTGAAAGATTTGTCCATGTGTTCATCCGATGCGACCTCAATGTTTGCCAACGTCCCCATAACTGAAACTATCCATTACCCTTGGAATTTCATTGAGACAAAACAACGTTTAGTCTCCTATTGCAGTCAGTGAATTGTGAGATCTTCTCTTGAGATTCACACTGAATTTACAACTGTTGTTCAGTGGCACTCTGTACCATCACATTGATGGCGTTGCCAAGGGCTCACCCCGTGGCCGGACGCTAGTCCGCATTTTCATGAGCAAACTTGAAAATAGCCCCTTAAAAGGGAGAGTGCAAAATCAGAGAAGACGTTTTTGAGCTTTTGAAAAATAAAACTGAGATGGACTCGCCTCAAAAAGATTTCAATATGGCCATCCACTTCATCGCACAAGAAGAACCAATAACTTCCTCCACTTCCTAGGTGTTGGCCTTGAATGACTTAATGAGGGTACACTGAAACGATCGGTGTGCCAAAAGCCCACATGATCCGGAGCAATTTAGTGAATTGAACATTTTTTGTTTCACCAAAAACAGAAATGTAATCTTATCCACAGCTCTCATAACAGGGTGGGGAAAATGTTCTCTGACAGAGCGCTGGAACAGGAAATCCTAACTCTCACCAATGTTCTGAGAGACAACGGGTTTCCCGACAGTTTTACTGGGAAGCATTTGATCAAAAGAGAGGCCGACGCTGTTACTACCACAGTTTAAAGGAAACCCGTCTTCGAGAAACACATTCATTTGCAAATCAATCTGGTTTTCAAGAAAGACTCAGCTGAATCTCTCGTTTAAGATATTCCTTTAGTCGCGAAGACAGAGTGCCTGTCCCCACCTGCTGTGGACGACAGGGGAACTCGGTGAAAGAATAAAGGAACACAGTCCACCCTGGCTAGCTTTGGGAACTAAAGGAACGACAAACAGCTCGGTCGCACAACATCTAGCAGACACGGCCCAGAGGATGATCTCCATCCCAAGTTCTTGTACAAGGCGCCCTCTAGTCTGCTCAGATTAGTACAGCACCGCACAATCGCAGTGGTTGAAGCTATCACTATACGTCTTCACGACCCGATTCCTTGTCGGCCAAATACCTTGAAAATATGTCGGACCTGCCATGGTCCATCTCACCTCCTCCCATACAAACATTCTATTCTGAACACGACCAAATGAAAGGAAGAAGGCCTTCGCTGAGGAGTTGACGTGCGGCCAGATAGACACAACTTGCTGCCACCTGGAGAGCACCTGGTCCACGTGTAATCCCTCTGAACAGAGCACTCTGATAGAAGCGGAAAGCAGAAGTGGCTATATCATTGCTTAATCGTAGGTGGCCACAGATTGTGCCAATTCGTCGACGGGCTCTATCCTCCGTCACCTGTCGCGACTCCCGTCCGATCGCCTGACTTTCGTCCGAAACAAAACGGCCAACAGCAGCCGATACACCTGCACTAGTTTCCACAAATTCTACTTCCGAACCTATCACGTTTTCGCTCAAGACCATTCCACAGTCAAGACATACCAGATCGGCCCGAGCACGATCCTCGTCGAAACTAGTGCCACCGCAGTGAGTGCAGCGCATTCTGGATTGTCAACGGATTCAAAGGGGACCAACACCAGTCCGTGGTACATGCACACTCAATAAGGCAGACAGGGTGAATCTGTCTTTCCAATTCCGAAATATGAGAGCATGCACTAATTTACACGGCAGAGAACCGTGGAGGTTAGTGATTGTATGTAGGACTGATCAGCACAGGCCACCTACAAGACAGTGGGGCGAGTCCATCAGGCGATTGCCTGGAAAAAAACCATGGACCAGCACTAATCAATTACCACCATACTTGTCATGTGGGCAGTCAGTTGTGAACTGGTGTAAGCGCACGACAACCAATACAATCATTTTTTGGTTACCATTTCGAGTCACTTTGTGATTACTATCTTCGGTAGGCTTCAGGACGTAATAATCACACTCGTTGCCATGACCGAATCAAACGTGCACGTCCTAACGTATCGGCTTTCATGTTCAAATTAGCTACGCATTCAAAGCACCGAAGTGATTTGTCGGCATACTGATGCGTAGACCGAATATGTGTGTAAACGGATGGATATACGGTAGGCCCGCATTTGGTTGTATGCGCCGCATCCAGCGATGAGCTTTGTACTGGCCGCAGGCTGAAAACACCGCACCAAGCCTTAGTAAATTCCGTAAGGTTGTCCCCAATCAGTGATGCTTCTCTTGGCTCAATCACAACCGGCTGGGCTATTCGCATCAGAGGTTATGTCTTTCGTCACCCCAACAGATGCTGGGCGGAAATGTGGGTGAATTCGCATTCTACACAGGTTTGCACCGAAGCAACGAATACTCATTCACTGAAGATGCGATAGAAATTACGGTCCTTAAGGGTGGTATACTTTTACAACACCAGGTAAATTGCAATCCTCTATCTGGAAGTCACGTGACATTGCCGCGTACTCTCACTGCATGTTTACAACAATCCGGCCGTCCTACTCAGAACCCCTACATGAACGACTACACTTAAGTGCTACCTACACACATGTGCCAACAGGCTATCGATCCAGGTGTTGCACCAAGCACAATTGGAATGAGTCAACTGAAGAAAACAACGTAATTTGTGCGAGTTCCGAATGCTTAAAATGCTGCAGCTGGGTTTTAATTCGACGCTACGAAATAATAAGGTCATCTGGCTGGAAGAATGTTGATGCATTTTGTGATACAGCCTTCGCAATCAGTTCCTTTCAGGCGTTTTTCTTACAACTTTATCCACTGTATGACTCGCTGCAGGTGATATACTAGCAGGCGCGTTCGTCTACTTTGTGTTTTTCCCACTGACTTATCTCTACCTCATACTTATTCATCGGTAATTCAGTCGGAATTATACAACAATTTAGGCTTAATGAATGGACACAGTGCCAGGTCAATTTGTGATTGTAAACTGTCGAACCAACTCCTCCATATTTGATGTTTGCTGCGTTTTTTTGGTGCAATAAGTAACCTGCAGTTTTGGACTACAACGCAGATTACCCGGACTGTTCAATATCTAGGTTTCGTCTTTTCCAGAAAATCGATGTCATTCAGTTCAGTGTGAAACATGTTCCGAGAGCGATTCTGCAGCTTCGATCGCTGTGGCTATTGACGACCACAGTGGTCGGACTAACTACTACTCAGAGTTAATTCGCGTTGGAATCAACAATCGTCATGCCAGGAAAGACAACGTTCGAGCTGTCATTTGGTCAGAATGTCTAAGACACATGACCACAGCTCAGAACCAGTGAACTTCTATATGTGAACCCAAAATGGTCACCAACCATCCTCCAAGGGAACATTCAAAGAGAAAGGCGTCCAACGAAGGATGCAGTTTCTAGTTGTCGGTATGGGTGGCATATTGTACCACGGAATAATAGAACAAATGTGCTGCGTTCAGATTGTCCATGTATCGGATCATAGACTAGTCTTTACGCAATAGTATCATCTTAGCTTGACTGCTTTCCATTCATAAGTCAGTGACACTTCCGCAGGAAACACCTATGGAAGCTGTCTAATCTCTTGTGCGGTACTAGGTGTGGCCCTTCAAAAGAAAAGAGAAAAATGGGGTACGCTTAGGTTTGACGTGCCTGGCCTACCAAAGCCAGGTGCCTTTCACAGTTTCCAAAGACGAACGGCAGAGTGTGACGAAACTAGTCATTAAAGCCACTGTGTCCACCCAGCTTGTGGAACTGCGACATTAACGAAGCTTGTCTGGCTACCTACCTGCCTACTCACCTGTAAGCATAACTGCTTGCTTGCTCGCTTACTCATAGGATCATCGAGCATTCTGTAGAGCCTCCATGATGGTTTCGCTCTTCTTGGGGCTTATCAGGTAGGCGCCTTCCTCGAATTTTCATCAGCGTTACTCTACACTTGAAGACAAACTTGTGCGTGCTTGACGGTGAGCACTCATTTGTAATTAATACTGGTATTGACGGAAGACTCAGCCGAGCTTCACCCGGAAAATTTACTTTTACTATTGGTCAGATAGATGTCAGTTGAATCTCTCATCAACACCGAGTTCGTTCGTAACTGAAAGTTTACCGCCACATCTGGTGTTAAGATGGACAGTGAGATTGACGGCAATCAAGCCTACATGACGAAATGAACGAAAGATGACTCTTCAGAATTTTTATCTACTTTATTAGTGACCTTGAAACATTCTCCGATATCTTGAATAGTCTCGTCTAAAGAACGAAACCGAAAGCGGCCTTTGGGCAACACATAAATCAGAGATTGAGCCAAGTTTTCCTCGCCCAAGCAAGTCTAATTTTTAAACGAATGTACCCCACAAAGCCAACTGTCTTCTCCAGCGCACTTAGATTGGCAGGTGTACTCAGCCACCATAAATAGTCTCGTCTAAAGAACGAAACCGAAAGCGGCCTTTGGGCAACACATAAATCAGAGATTGAGCCAAGTTTTCCTCGCCCAAGCAAGTCTAATTTTTAAACGAATGTACCCCACAAAGCCAACTGTCTTCTCCAGCGCACTTAGATTGGCAGGTGTACTCAGGATTCCACCATAAATTTCCTCGACTACCAAACGAGTGAATGTTGTTACGTGGTATGAGAATCCTAATTGGTTTACAAAATACCATGCAATGCGTTAAAAACTGCGTCCGGCTAATTTGCTTATCAACATTCCCACCGACAGTCTATGTAAGCCTTGAGGCCCAAATGCCCAATGTTCAATAGGATGACAGCCTCCAGTACTGATTTCATCCGCAATGGCTTCGTTCGGATAAAATACCGTCCAATAACGATCGATTTGATGAAACTGCCTACTTTTAGTGATCGCCTGCAAGGAACAGCTTTAAGCAAGGTTTGCGTCATCAAACAAGCATCGAGCGACGTGAGAACGACATAACTTCCACATAACACCTCCTCACACACGTGCACAGGGAGCAGGAACCTGGATGGATTGCCACCGAATAGTTCAAGCTCGAAAGATCGACGCGCAACACACAAGCTGAGAAGTAGAACACGTTCCTCAGGAGTTCAAGTTCAGCATAAATAAAAGAAAGTTGGCAGTGAAGTACTACCGAGAAGACTGCCCTGTATGTGAACCAAGCAAAACTACCAATTAGTTGCCGGTATTCTGGAGCAAACCTCTCCCATGGAACAAAGCAGGTTTTGAAGCCGTCACAGCACGGTTGGTTTCATGTGTGCAGCATAGAGAATTCAAGAGAAATCTCGTGAACATAATAAACACTGTATTGGCTGTTTGCGGACTCCATCAAAGTCTCGGAACCATCCAAAAGATAAATAATGTGTATCGTCTAACTACAGCTCTACTGTTTAGACGAATGAATCGACCGAGTCAAAACCTTCCGCATTGGGATCAAAGTCCTGCTATGGGACTGTGAAACCGGGTCGAACAGGTAGAGGCAGGGTTACCTTCTTGCATCCCACTTTTCAGCTTCTGTTTGATCAACGCAGAAGGTAGTATGACGCACCAATACCTGACTGAACAGTTACTTATACGATTTCAAGCGTTTTTTTGGCCAGACTTTGCTGCTCGAGTCCACTATTTGTACACTTCCATCTGAAAAAGACTATGCCCGCACTCTTTAGCAGACTGATGACGGCACCCAATCTGATCACAGCTATAAAGGTATCTGATATGCTCGTTCCTTATCAGCCAGCACCGGTCGTTCAACACAAAACAGGATGTTCCCGTTGTAAGGTGGCATGTAAGATGCCAATGATCCGTGTACTTCCACACTGAGCTTAATGCGCTACTCATAAGGTTGCTGAAAATTCTTCGACAGCCCACGACCGGTTTCGCCCTTCTTGGGGCTCATCAGGTAGGCGCAGTCCCCGAGTTTCCATCAACTTATGTTCCGCTTGCTTGTGTTCCTTGACGATTTGATAAAGACCACTCAATAACGATCGAATAGCTTAAGCAAGTTTGCAGGTGCGGCGGAGTGCCCACAATCGTCTTTGCCAATGTTGCGGTGAACGGTACTCGAATGTTTCCTGCTACCACTCGTCCCAAATTTAATCTCGGACTGCGTTTCCCTTTTACCTAATTTTTCAAACGTTCAACACCAAGCACAAGCTTCTGCATATCAAATCCTGTATAGCTGCATCGTCCCGAACTGTATCTGAATGTTGCACGTGACCTTACCTTAGATGACGAGGAAAAACTGCCGCTCACCATAAACTGCAGGCTCTTACATTATACCCATATAAACTGGATCCCATGATTCAGGGAACTTCAACAATTTTTCATAAAGGAAACTACTCACAAGGTTGCCGAAAGCTCTTCGAAAGCCCACGACCGGTTTCGCCATTCTGCTTCCGGAAGAGGGAAGAGCGAAACCGGTCGTGGGCTTTCGAAGAGTTTTCGGCAACCTTGTGAGTAGTTTCCTTTATGAAAATACACTGCGATATCTCGAATATCGTGCCAACCGAATCATGAGCCGGCCTGTGTGCAGCACATTCAGCCGTAGAATATCATGAACGAGAGATTTAGTTGAGTCTCTCGTGAAAACCGAATGGATTTGCAAATGAGTGTACTTATCGAAAATTTTA